CCAGAAGACGAAGGCAATAAATGCCTTTGGAACAAACCCACAAATCTCTGATGATCAAGTAAAACCTGACCATCAGATTCCTTCATCTGGTCAAGCTTCCTCTTCATGTTTGTAGCATAGTCATGTGCGAGCCGGTGCAACTGTTTATTCTCATGCTTGAGCCCTCTAATCTCCTGTTTGAGACTCATCACTTCAGCCGCCAATGATTCAACTTGGCGGGTTCGAGCAAATAGGCGTTGGGCCATATTAGACACAGAACCTGCACACTGAACACTGAGAGCCAGAGAATCCTTAACAGCCAACTCATCAGACCGTTTGGAAAGTAGTCTGTTATCTTTGGGAGTGAGAAGGTTCCTGGCCACTACCGCAGCGGTCATATCATTCTTCATCACGGAATCCCCAACGGTAAGAGGACCAGTAGGGGAGACGAAGGATGGGCGCCATATGTTGTCTGGAGAAGGCGGGGCTGCCTCTTCAACAAGGTTCAAGTCAAAACGACGGTCGGAGGGGCCAGACATTTTCAAAGGTGTTGAAGAGAGAAGAGGTCGGACAAATCAAGATCTTAGAAGTGCAAGAATGGAGCTTCTACTGGTGGATATTCAAGTGTGCTTTGGAACTTAATGTCAGCCCCTATAAAAAATCTGCACTCGACGAAGCTTCAGAAATCGAAGAGGCGCCTGCTCAGAAATCGAAGAGGCGTTTGCTTTCTCAAAAGCTGGGCTGCTCAGAGATTTTCAAAAGCTGGGCTGCTCAAAGACCACAAAGGCCGATCTCAGAAATCGAAGAGGCTTGCTTTCTCAAAAGCTGGGCTGCTCAGAGACCACGAGGGCCGATTTCAGAAATCGAAGAGGCACCTACTTTTCCAGCCTTGTCAGCACCTGTCACACGCACACTCAGCTTTGCGGAAATTATGGGCATTCTGTCGAAGATTTCTGGCGAAGTAGAAAGCACATGAATCGTACTGTTCAATCACCCACTTCCCACACGCAACAGTAGCTCATGGGTACCACAGATAACTTTGCCAAAGTTCTCTGACAAAGTTGAGACACGTGAAGCTTGCAGCTCCCACTACATCGCTCTGACCAAGAAGGGTAAAAGAATTGCAAAGAAACAACACTAACAAAGTTTAGACACATAAATTTTGAAGGTCTAGCTACCATATTATTACCCACAAGGGTAAAGGAACAGTACCACTGCTGGATAATTGGAAAGTCCCGGTGTGTCAACCTCTGTGCTTCGTGGCAAGGTAGACTAGCAAACATGCCCAACCTTTACTCACATTCGAGAAAACACTCCTAACAAGATTGCTTGCTCCAAAATCGAAGAGGCACCGCCCTCCGAATCTCGAGAGCCAGACTCCCAACATGATTACTTTCTCAAAAATCGAAGAGAGGGTAAAGGAACAGTACCACTGCTGGATAATTGGAAAGTCCCTGTGTGTCAACCTCTGTGCTTCGTGGCAAGGTAGACTAGCAAACATGCCCAACCTTTACTCTCATTCGAGAAAACACTCCCAACAAGATTGCTTGCTCCAAAATCGAAGAGGCACCGCCCTCCGAATCTCGAGAGCCAGACTCCCAACATGATTACTTTCTCAAAAATCGAAGAGAGACACCGCTCTCCGAATCTCGAGAGCCAGACCCCCAGCAGGATTGCTTTCTCAAAAATCGAAGAGGCATCGTTCTCCGAATCTCGAGAGCCAGACCCCCGACAGGTCTGTAATCTTCACACGCAACATCAGCTTTCCAGATACCACAAACCACTTTTTCAAAGTGCTCTGACAGAGTTAAAAACATGTGAAGCTGGCAGCTCCCACTACCGTGCTATGAACCAAGCAGGGTAAAGGAATAGCATTATTACTTGATGTTAGGGAGACTCCTATATATGTCGACTTCCATCCCTAACGGACAGGCAGACCTGCAAAAATGCTCAACCCTTTCTCTTATCTGAGAGGGCACTCCCAACAAAGCCTTTCGAAATATTCAGCTTTTTTTTCCCCCCGATAATACCTCTGTAAACAAGCTATACTAGAGCAAGAATATCTCATATCATCAGGGTTAAAAGCAAGAGAGTATCCCATATCATGCTTTTTCCCTGTCTTTTCCTTTGGCCTTGTTCTTACCTGCAAGACAAGGAGAAAGAGAGCAATCAGTCAGCACTTGGAATCAAGCTTCCAGCCAGGAACTGACTGCCTGGAACCCCTTACCTGATTACTTACCTGGCATTGCTCTCGAGTACTCATCTTCAACATCTTATGCTTCCAGGGAAGATACCGCATCTGCCTGAGGAACAGATAGGGCAAGTGAGAAGGATACAAGGAAGCATGTGGAGACAAGCGTAACAGCACACGTGCCGATACATCCACTACTCTATCAAAAGCAAAAGTATCCCATATCAGCAGGGTCGAACGTACTCTAGATTTGATGGACTTGTTTTGACCCTCAAATTCTTCAGTCGGCCTTATACTCTGGAGGAAACCAGAAAACCCTCCAGCCCAGTTCAAGAATAAGCCTGTGGAAAGTTACTTCTTCAAAAGCAAAAGTATCCCATATCATCTCTTCCTCATTTTTCTTCTCTTTATCCTTCATGCTGCCTGCAAGATAGGGAGAATGTGAACAATCAGCCGGAGCTCTGATTGCTTACCTTGTCTGTCACCTCTTTCAGCAGATCCCCTAGCTCGGCGACTTGGGGGACTCCTACTACATGGTTTGTATCTCGCTTGACCAAGCATGAAACTACAAGTAAGCTTCAAGTGAAATTGATACATTACCTTGTGCATCTCCACCAGTTACAGATACCACCCCTGGATGGAGGAAGAGTACTTCCAGAGAAGATGCCACATCTACCTATGAGACAGATAAGGCAAGTCAAGACGATACCACACTCCGGTACTTAGAAGTTTCGTGGCTTACGAGATCATTCTCCCACAATTTTTCCTAATGTCATTTGTACTAAATCATTCACTTGTACTCACTAAAGGAGAGCTTGAACCTATGTACTTGTGTAAACCCTTCACAATTAATGAGAACTCCTCTATTCCGTGGACGTAGCCAATCTGGGTGAACCACGTACATCTTGTGTTTGCTTTCCTATCTCTATCCATTTATATACTTATCCACACTAATGACCGGAGCAATCTAGCGAAGATCACAAAAAGTGACCGTTTTCGCTACCTAGGATCTATCTTGCAAGAGAACGGAGAATTAGATGGAGATCTCAACCATAGAATACAAGCTGGATGGATGAAGTGTAAGAGTGCATCCGGCGTGTTGTGTGACCGTCGTAGGCCACTGAAGCTCAAGGGAAAATTTTATAGGACGGCAATAAGGCCAGCGATGTTGTATGGCACAGAATGTTGGGCGGTGAAGCATCAACGTACACAAAATGGGTGTAGCGGAGATGAGGATGCTTCGTGGGATGTATGGGCACACGAGAAAGGATAAGATTGAGAATTAGGATATCCGAGGTAAAGTAGGAGTAGCCAAAATTGAAGGAAATATGAGAGAAAATCGGTCCCGGTGGTTTGGACATGTGCAAAGAAGGCCTACTGACGCTCCGGTTCGAAAATGTGACTACGGGACAGAGGTTCGGGGCCGAAGGAGTAGAGGAAGACCTAGGAAAACTTTGGAAGAGACCCTAAGAAAAGACTTGAGTACTTGGATCTAACGGAGGACATGACACAAATGAGCGCAATGGTGTTCTAGGATTCATATAGCCGACCCCACTTAGTGGGAAAAGGCTTTGTTGTTGTTGTTGTTGTTGTTTCCCGCATAACGCTGCCAGCAATGTAACTCTCTTCCAAATCCAGGTTTTTTTTTTCTCTATAGTTTTTATTTTTCACTCTTTTCATTTTCTTTGTTCCTTGCTGCCTTCTTAATTCTCATTCTCCTATTGTATACAATGCAGTTGATCTTTTGTGTTATTTGATACTTTTATTAGTGGTTCTTGACAGCTTGCATGATGCTTATTGTTGAATGGTTTCTTATTCTCATGCGATTTTTTTCCTCTCTTCGTCCAGCATTCACCAATAAGCGAAAGTTTCTTTTAGTTGCACGGAGATATAGGCATGGCTCTCACACCGAGTATATAAATAAATTATAATATCACTTGATGCTGATGACATATCCCAACGAACCAATGCTTATGTGGGAAAATTAAGGTAAGGTTTTTTTATGAAAGAAAGTAAAGTTAAGGGTGGTTTTCTTTTTTATTCCAGGAGTTGTGGTTCTTCATTTTTTGGGGCCTTTTTCTCTGCTATTGTAACATTTTGGTAATAGAGGTAAGTAATTTAGAGTTATTCTTTTCAGGCTTTTCTGTAAGAAAGTAATAATTCTTTTGCGCAAATTCTGAGGTTTCAGTTTTGTATGATCTCAACGTTAAATGTGTTTCATGTTGTTTTATGAATGTATTGGACTACTAGAAAGAACTGCTGTGAAATTCTTCCAGTTTTGGCAAAACACTGCAATCCTACTTCTGCTTTTCCACTTCCTTCCAGGTATTTTCTCTTCATTATTTTTTCCCCAATTTATATGTTGCGGTGGAAGAGCAGAAGTCCTTCAGTTTCCTTTTTCTGTTGGGGTTTTTGATGATTGCTAATAAAAGAAATTCAAGTCCTTAATTCAAGTCCTTCATCTGCAGGTCTTCTGCATGCTTTCGAATTTTGGATTATATGTTGTTTTACTCTGTCAATTATGGGGTAAAAAGGACACACCTTTAACAATTTTGTGATTGAATTTATATTGCAGTGGGACAACCATATCACACGCTTGCCTTTCTCGGAGCCGTCTACTTTTGAATTTGGAATTTGGGTTCGATCGGAAGATTGCTTCTTTCTTCCGGATTAATTTCGTGAATAATTGGTAAGTTTTCCTCTCACAATTCATATGTACATTAGAGTCAATATCATTCATTCTATATTCCTTATTTAATAATAACTTGATTTATGCAACCCTCAAGTTTATTTAGCCATGTAAATTGAACTTTTTCCTGCTTTAATGTAAGGGCAGTTCGATCCGCTGACGGGTCAGCATTAGCAAAGGTTGGTTCAATTGTAATATAAAATTCTGTTTATGTGCAGTTTTTAAGTTACTTATATTCTGAACGTAAATTTTTTTTCATTTAGTCTGCAATTTCTGTATTTTTCATTGGCTTAGGTATTGCAGCGACTACTGTTAAACTGCTTCCCTGTGGAACTGCTTCTTAGTCTAGGGAGTTTTTGTGTGACAGGAGACGTATTCACTTTTAAGATTCCCAAAGGACTTCAACATATCAAGTATGGAGGGAAATGATAGAACCAATATGTCAGAGGTTCTTACCTTTTCTGCATTATTCTTCTTATGTAGAGATGATTTGTTTTTTCTTTTTCAAAAATAAAATAAAATTCATTCTTTTTGGCAATTTCTCAATGTAGGTCGGCAATGAAGAAGTTCACTTCGGACAAACAAATGTTCACAATTCTCAACAGTCAAACCAAAGGTATCGTAGGAGCAATCAACAAAGGCAAAGACAACAATCTATGAATTCATCACAGCGGACTCGAATTTCACTGCGACGACGTGCCAATTATCAAGCCCGATTGAACTCGGTAAATATAGTACAAAATCAAACGGAAGTAAACCAAGATGACATAGGACCAACATCAGCGGGTAACTATATTTTTTTTTTGTCTCTATTCGGACCAACAAAGCTGCACATATTTTTGTATTCAAATTAAAGAGAATAAGAATCTAAACCATGAAGGGATACTAACATGTTCATTAAGCATTTATCAACAACAACAACAACAACAAAGCCTTTTCCCACTAAGTGGGGTCGGCTATATGAATCCTAGAACGCCATTGCGCTCGGTTTTGTGTCATGTCCTCCGTTAGATCCAAGTACTCTAAGTCTTTTCTTAGAGTCTCTTCCAAAGTTTTCCTAGGTCTTCCTCTACCCCTTTGGCCCTGAACCTCTGTCCCGTAGTCACATCTTCGAACCGGAGCGTCAGTCGGCCTTCTTTGCACATGTCCAAATCATCGGAGCCGATTTTCTCTCATCTTTCCTACAATTTCGGCTACTCCTACTTTACCTCGGATATCCTCATTCCCAATCTTATCCTTTCTCGTGTGCCCACACATCCCACGAAGCATCCTCATCTCCGCTACACCCATTTTGTGTACGTGTTGATGCTTCATCGCCCAACATTCTGTGCCATACAACATCGCTGGCCTTGTTGCCGTCCTATAAAATTTTCCCTTGAGCTTCAGTGGCCTACGACGGTCACACAACACGCCGGATGCACTCTTACACTTCATCCATCCAGCTCGTATTCTATGGTTGAGATCTCCATCTAATTCTCCGTTCTCTTGCAAGATAGATCCTAGGTAGCGAAAACGGTCGCTTTTTGTGATCTTCGCTAGATTGCTCCGGTCATTAGTGTGGATAAGTATATAAATGGATAGAGATAGGAAAGCAAACACAAGATGTACGTGGTTCACCCAGATTGGCTACATCCACAGAATATAAGAGTTCTCATTAATTGTGAAGGGTTTACACAAGTACATAGGTTCAAGCTCTCCTTTAGTGAGTACAAGTGAATGATTTTGTACAAATGACATTAGGAAATATTGTGGGAGAATGATCTCGTAATCACGAAACTTCTAAGTATCGGAGTGTGGTGTCGTCTTGACTTGCCTTATCTGTCTCATAGGTAGATGTGGCATCTTCTCTGAAAGTACTCTTCCTCCATCCAGGGGTGGTATCTTTAACTGGTGGAGATGCACAAGGTAATGTATCAATTTCACTTGAAGCTTACTTGTAGTCTCAAGCTTGGTCAAGCGCGATACAAACCATGTAGTAGGAGTCCCCCAAGTCGCCGAGCTAGGGGGTCTGCTGAAAGAGGTGACAGACAAGGTAAGCAATCAGAGCTCCGACTGATTGTTCACCTTCTCCCCATCTTGCAGCAGCATGAAGGATAAAGAGAAGAAAAATGAGAAGAGATGATATGAGATACTTTTGCTTTTGAAGAAGTAACTTTCCACAGGCTTATTCTTGAACTGAGCTGGAGGGTTTTCTGGTTTCCTCCAGAGTATAAGGCCGACTGAAGAATTTGAGGGTCAAAACAAGTCCATCAAATCTAGAGTACGTTCCACCCTACTGATATGGGATACTTTTGCTTTTGATAGAGTAATGGGTGTATCGGCACGTGTGCTGTTACGCTTGTCTCCACATGCTTCCTTGTATCCTTCGCACTTGCCCTATCTGTTCCTCAAGCAGATGCAGAATCTTCCCTGGAAACATAAGATGTTGAAGATGAGTACTCGAGAGCAATGCCAGGTAAGTAATCAGGTAAGGGGTTCCAGGCAGTCAGTTCCTGGCTGGAAGCTTGATTCCAAGTGCTGACTGATTGCTCTCTTTCTCCTTGTCTTGCAGGTAAAAACAAGGCCAAAGGAAAAGACAGGGAAAAAGCATGATATGAGATACTCTTGCTTTTAACCCTGATGATATGAGAGATATTCTTGCTCTAGTATAGCTTGTTTGCAGAGGTATTATCGGGGGGAAAGAAAGCTGAATATTTCGAAAGGCTTCGTTGGGAGTGCCCTCTCAGATATGATGAAGGGTTGAGCATTTTTGCAGGTCTGCCTGTCCGTTGGGGATGGAGGTCGACATATATAGGAGTCTCCCTAACAACAAGTAGTAATGCTATTCCTTTACCCTGCTTGGTCATAGCACGGTAGTGGGAGCTGCCAGTTGCAATGGTACTGTTCCTTTACCCTCTCTTCGCTTTTGAGAAAGTAGTCATGTTGGGAGTCTGGCTCTCGAGATTCGGAGGACGGTGCCTCTTCGATTTTGGAGCAAGCAATCTTGTTGGGAGTGTTTTCTCGAAAGTGAGTAAAGGTTGGGCATGTTTGCTAGTCTACCTTGCCACGAAGCACAGAGGTTGACACACAAGGACTTTCCAATTATCCAGCAGTGTTACTGTTCCTTTACCCTTGTGGGTAATAATATGGTAGCTAGACCTTCAACATTTATGTGTCTAAACTTTGTTAGTGCTGTTTCTTTGCTATTCTTTTACCTTTCTTGGTCAGAGCGATGTAGTGGGAGCTGCAAGCTTCACGTGCTCAACTTTGGCAGAGAACTTTGGCAAAGTTATCTGTGGTACCCATGAGCTATTGTTGCGTGTGGGAAGTGGGTGATTGAACAGTAAGATTCATGTGCTTTCTACTTTACCAGAAGTCTTCGACAGAATGCCCATAATTTCTGCAAAGCTGAGTGTGCGTGTGACAGGTGCTGACAAGGCTAGAAAAGTAGGTGCCTCTTCGATTTCTGAGATCGGCCCTCGTGGTCTCTGAGCAGCCCAGCTTTTGAGAAAGCGAGCGCCTCTTCGATTGATTCGGAGAACGATGCCTCATCGATTTTTGAGAAAGCAATCATGCTGGGGGTCTGGCTCTCGAAGATTCGGGGAGCAGTGTCTCTTCGATTTTTGAGAAAGTAATCACGTTGGGAGTCTGGCTCTCGAGATTCGAAGGGCGGTGCCTCTTCGATTTTGGAGCAAGCAATCTTGTTGGGAGTGTTTTCTCGAATGTGAGTAAAGGTTGGGCATGTTTGCTAGTCTACCTTGCCACGAAGCACAAAGGTTGACACACAGAGACTTTCCAATTATCCAGCAATGGTACTGTTCCTTTACCCTCTCTTCGATTTTTAAGAAAGTAGTCATGTTGGGAGTCTGGCTCTCGAGATTCGGAGGACGGTGCCTCTTCGATTTTGGAGCAAGCAATCTTATTGGGAGTGTTTTCTCGAATGTGAGTAAAGGTTAGGCATGTTTGCTAGTCTACCTTGCCACGAAGCACAGAGGTTGACACACAGGGACTTTCCAATTATCCAGCAGTGGTACTGTTCCTTTACCCTTGTGGGTAATAATATGGTAGCTAGACCTTCAAAATTTATGGGTCTAAACTTTGTTAGTGCTGTTTCTTTGCTATTCTTTTACCCTTCTTGGTCAGAGCGATGTAGTGGGAGCTGCAAGCTTCACGTGCTCAACTTTGGCAGAGAACTTTGGCAAAGTTATCTGTGGTACCCATGAGCTATTGTTGCGTGTGGGAAGTGGGTGATTGAACAGTAAGATTCATGTGTTTTCTACTTCCCCAGAAGTCTTCGACAGAATGCCCATAATTTCTGCAAAGCTGAGTGTGCGTGTGACGGGTGCTGACAAGGCTGGAAAAGTAGGTGCCTCTTCGATTTCTGAGATCGGCCCTCGTGGTCTCTAGGGAGCCCAGCTTTTGAGAAAGCGAGCGCCTCTTCGATTTCTGAGATCGGCCTTCGTGGTCTTTGAGCAACCCAACTTTTGAGAAAGCAAATGCCTCTTCGATTTCTGAGATCAACCCTCGTGATCTCTAAGCAGCCCAGCTTTTGAGAAAGCAAACGCCTCTTCGATTTCTGAGCAGGCGCCTCTTCGATTTCTGAAGCTCCGTCGAGTGCAGATTTTTATAGAGGCTGACATTAAGTTCCAAAGCACACTTGAATCTCCACCAGTAGAAGCTTCATTCTTGCACTTCTAAGATCTTGATTTGTCCGACCTCTTCTCTCTTCAACACCTTTGAAAATGTCTGGCCCCTCCGACCGTCGTTTTGACTTGAACCTTGTTGAAGAGGCAGCCCCGCCTTCTCCAGACAACATATGGCGCCCCATCCTTCGTCTCCCCTACTGGTCCTCTTACCGTTGGGGATTCCGTGATGAAGAAGAATGATATGACCGCTGCGGTGGTGGCCAGGAACCTTCTCACTCCCAAAGATAACAGACTACTTTCCAAACGGTCTGATGAGTTAGCTGTTAAGGATTCGCTGGCTCTCAGTGTTCAGTGTGCAGGTTCTGTGTCTAATATGGCCCAACGCCTATTTGCTCGAACCCGCCAAGTTGAATCCTTGGCGGCTGAAGTGATGAGTCTCAAACAGGAGATTAGAGGGCTCAAGCATGAGAATAAACAGTTGCACCGGCTCGCACATGACTATGCTACAAACATGAAGAGGAAAGCTTGACCAGATGAAGGAAACTGATGGTCATGTTTTACTTGATCATCAGAGATTTGTGGGTTTGTTCCAAAGGCATTTATTGCCTTCGTCTTCTGGGGCTGTACCGCGTAATGAAGCTCCGAATGATCAACCTCTGATGCCTCCTCCTTCTAGGGTTTTGTCCAGTACTGAGGCTCCAAATGATCCCCCTCCGGTGCCTTCTCTTTCTGGGGCTCTACCGACTGCTGAGACTTCTCCTAAGCAACCTTTGTGAAGGCTCCGTCTTGTGTGTTTATTTTGACTCATGTATATGTACATATTTGTAGCTGATCGGGGATATCAATAAATAAGCTTTCCTTCATTTCAACGTATTGTGTTAAATACACCAAAGCCTTCTTCGCTAAGTTCTTTGAATTTTCTTTTGTTGAAGTTTGTATGTTGAAGCTTTCTGAGTGGAGCATGTAGGTTGGGGTAGTGTTCCCTTAATTTCCCGAGTGAGGAAAACTTCTCGGTTGGAGACTTGGAAAATCCAAGTCACTGAGTGGGATCGGCTATATGAATCTTAGAACGCCATTGTACTCGATCCTGTGTCATGTCCTTCGTTAGATCCAAGTACTCTAAGTCTTTTCTTAGAGTCTCTTCCAAAGTTTTCCTAGGTCTTCCTCTACCCCTTCGGCCCTGAACCTCTGTCCCATAGTCGCATCTTCTAATCGGAACGTCAGTAGGCCTTCTTTGCACATGTCCAAACCACCGTAACCGATTTTCTCTCATCTTTCCTTCAATTTCGGCTACTCCTACTTTACCCCGGATATCCTCATTCCTAATCTTATCCTTTCTCGTGTGCCCACACATCCAACGAAGCATCCTCATCTCCGCTACACCCATTTTGTGTACGTGTTGATGTTTCACCGCCCAACATTCTGTGCCATACAGCATCGCCGGCCTTATTGCCGTCCTATAAAATTTTCCCTTGAGCTTCAATGGCATACGGCGGTCACACAACACGCCGGATGCACTCTTCCACTTCATCCATCCAGCTTGTATTCTATGGTTGAGATCTCCATCTAATTCTCCGTTCTTTTGCAAGATAGATCCTAGGTAACGAAAACGGTCGCTTTTTGGTATTTCTTGATCTCCGATCCTCACCCCTAACTCGTTTTGGCCTCCATTTGCACTGAACTTGCACTCCATATATTCTGTCTTTGATCGGCTTAGGCGAAGACCTTTAGATTCCAACACTTCTCTCCAAAGGTTAAGCTTTGCATTTACCCCTTCCTGAGTTTCATCTATCAACACTATATCGTCTGCGAAAAGCATACACCAAGGAAATATCATCTTGAATATGTCCTGTTAACTCATCCATTACCAACGCAAAAAGGTAAGGACTTAAGGATGAGCCTTGATGTAATCCTACAGTTATGGGAAAGCTTTCGGTTTGTCCTTCATGAGTTCTTACGGCAGTCTTTGCTCCTTCATACATATCCTTTATAGCTTGGATATATGCTACTCGTACTCCTTTCTTCTCTAAAATCCTCCAAAGAATGTCTCTTGGGACCCTATCATACGCTTTTTCCAAATCTATAAAGACCATGTGTAAATCCTTTTTCCCATCTCTATATCTTTCCATCAATCTTCGTAAGAGATAGATTGCCTCCATGGTTGAGCGCCCTGGCATGAACCCGAATTGGTTGTCCGAAACCCGTGTCTCTTGCCTCAATCTATGCTCAATGACTCTCTCCCAGAGCTTCATTGTATGACTCATTAGCTTAATACCCCTATAGTTCATGCAATTTTGTACGTCGCCCTTGTTCTTGTAGATAGGCACCAAAGTGCTCGTTCGCCACTCATTTGGCATCTTCTTCGTTTTCAAAATCCTATTGAAAAGGTCAGTGAGCCATGTTATACCTGTCTCTCCCAAAAGTTTCCACACTTCGATTGGTATATTGTCTGGGCCTATTGCTTTTTTATGCTTCATCTTCTTCAAAGCTACAACCACTTCTTCCTTCCGGATTCGACGATAAAAAGAGTAGTTTCTACACTCTTCTGAGTTACTCAACTCCCCTAAAGAATCACTCATTTCATGTCCTTCATTGAAAAGGTTATGAAAATAACCTCTCCATCTGTCATTACAAAAACAAAAGGAAAAAAAATAAGTATGTAGGTACTTAAATAATATTATATGCTTACTAATATTTTTCGTGCACCATTACGTTTCTTGGTTTAGAGCAACAAGATGCATATGTTACTAATGAGAGACAAAGCCAACGAGAGCAATGGCGAGATCAACAACGTATGAGGCGGAATTCAATGAGTTCAAGGCAAAGGCACGATTACTTAGCACAACGACGATCCAATTATCGTGATCAACAAATTCAATGCTCAAACATAATGTTATTTGGTGGCGATACCGATCAAGTTCAACACCCTAACATAGTGCAATTCGATGAAGGCAGTAGCAATCATGTTGAACGACTCAACATAGTGCCGTTTGGAGAAGGCAGCAGCAATCAAGTTCCAAGAACAATGCGCTTAACTCATATAAGGAAAATTGCTCGATCGAATAGGGCACGCTTGCCTCAGGATGGACTTATTCAAAGTTTAACTAATAATGGTAATCGCACAAACTACCATACTACAACTTTGAAAAAGATAAATATCAATATCATCATTATTGTAAACACCACTTATTACCTTACTTCTATTCCATTTCATTATAACAGAAAACACAACAAGGCAATCATTCCGTTCGAATACTCCAATGAATCATTCTTATCCACCCATCATCAATGAAGGTATCGGTTTTGGAATATTAATACCTACAATTTTAACTATGCTCTCTAAATCATAAAACACTTTTAATGTTTCCTTTTGAAGCAGATGATTTTAATCTCATTAATGAAAATGAGATCCAGCCTAACGAGGACGTACCACCTCGACAGCATACGATGGGAACAAGGCCAATTCATAATTGTGCTAGAAACTTCAATGAAAACATGGGAATCCCAAGATTTCACATGCCAAATCCAACCACATGTCCAGATTGTCATGCCTGTTTGTTCTCTCATGAAACATTTGAAATGTGTTGCTTACGTGGAAAGCTTGCTCTACCATTGACACCGTCCCCTCCTGAAATGACTGAGCTTTTTGCAACCAATCTGCCCAGGGAAGACATTTTAGGCAGAATATACGAGCTTACAACCACATTTTTGCCTTCACTTCAATGGGAGTTCATGTTGACGAAAACCTAGCAACAGGAAGACGTGGTATTTACACATTTCGTGCTCAAGGTTCCATATACCATAAGATTGGAAGTCTCTTGCCTATTGGAGATAGTAGACCAAGATTCCTACAAATGTATATATACGACACTGCTCATGAAATAGACAATCGGATGAGAGAAAGTGAAGCACTAAACAGAGATGTGGTTGAAAAAATCCAACAAATCTTGAATCAATATAATCCATTTGTGCAAACATTTCACCACCTTGCGCAACGTCAAGATTTGCAAAGTTGTAGATTGATTATCAAGGAGCAGCCCACGAATCAACGACAATATTGTCTACCGTCTGCATCTCAGGTTGCTGCAATCATAGTAAGTGGTGAAGGATCAGAAAACATTAGAGGTCGAGATATTGTTGTGCAAACTACGGATGGTCAACTTAAGAGTATCAAAGATTGTGTCGGCTACTATGACCCTTTACAATATCCATTGTTATTACCTTATGGAACGTACGGATGGGATGTGAATACTCGAAATAATACCAACAGAAAAGTGACATGCTGTGACTATTATTCGTATGTTCTTCAGGTAACCTAAGACCTTCATCTCTGTCAATAAATATTAATTTTTAAAACTTATATTGTGTTGAACAATGAATTTTATCATTTTAGATCCGTCAACATGATGAATCGCTTCTACTTCGTGGTGGCCGCCTATTGCAGCAATATGTAGTTGACAACTACGTAAAGATCGAATCACAAAAGCTTAGATGGATGCGTGATAATCAACACACAATTCGATCTGAATTTTATCGAGGACTACAAGACTCATTAATTGCAGGACAAAATAATGCAGGTACGAGGCTAATCAGTTTATAATAAAAAATATATATTCTTCATGTTCATGTTTTGTCACATTAAATGAGACTTATTAATGGGTTGAAACAAAACAAACATATTTAGACTTATTAACGACTTTTAACAAAACAAATACAGGAAACATTGGTCGTCGTAGGACTATATTACCATCATCTTTTGTTGGTAGTCCCCGTGACATGTATCAAAGGTATCAAGATGCAATGACTTTGGTGCAAATATATGGAAGACCAGATATTTTCCTAACAATGACATGTAATCCAAATTGGGAAGAAATAAGTGATGAGCTACTACCTGGCCAAGCACCACAAGATCGACCAGATTTGCTTACAAGGGTTTTTCGTGCAAAATTCGAACAGTTGAAGAATGATGTTATAAAAAAAAGTGTTTTAGGCAGAGTTCTTGCATATGTATATGTCATTGAGTTTCAAAAGCGCGGTCTCCCCCATGTTCACATGCTTCTCATGTTAGAAGAAAATGATAAGCTTAATAGTCCAGATGATTATGATCAGATGGTACGTGCTGAAATACCAATTCCAAATGAAGAGCCTAAATTGTATGGTGCCGTGTTAAGGCATATGATACATGGTCCATGTGGAATACACAACTCACGATCACCCTGTATGAAACGTGGTAGTTGTAAACGAAATTATCCTAAGCCATTTACACCAACTACAGTTCAAGGAAATGATTCTTATCCAGTCTATCGTAGAAGAGACAATCATAATTCAGTCCCATTAGATCAAAATGCACGTATAATGGTGGATAATCGGTGGGTCATTCCGTATAACTCATGGTTATTCCTCAGATATGATTGTCATATTAATGTTGAGATTTGTTGCAGCATTAAGAGTGTTAAGTATCTGTACAAATATGTTTATAAAGGTCCTGACCGAGTAGCTTTTGAAGTCCATCCTGAACCTATTCAAGATGAAATAAAGCAGTTTGTTGATGCAAGATGGGTTTGTGCACCTGAAGCTTTATGGAGAATATTCAAATTTGTAACTAATCGACTTTATCCATCGGTGGAACGATTACAAATTCATCTCCCTGAAGGACAAACTGTTCATTTTTACCCTCACCAAAGAGTATCAGATATTTTGGCAGATGACACAAACTCGATGACTATGTTGACAGAGTTTTTTACCAAGAATACCACTTGCCCGGAAGCACGACGATACTTATACCGGGAGTTCCCTGAACGGTTCAGATGGAGTCATAGAGATAAAGTCTGGAGTGAGAGGATGAATAACCATAAAGTTATTGGCCGAATATATGCAGTTTCGCCAAATGAGGGTGAAAAATTCTACTTACGCATCCTTCTTAATCATGTTAGAGGACCAACATCATTTGACGATTTAAGAACAGTCAATGACATTGTACAACCAACATTTAAAAAGGCAGTGGAACAACGAGGTTTGCTAGAAGATGATGATAGCATCAGACAGTGTCTTCGTGAGGCCTCTAACATTCGAATGCATTCAGCTTTACGAAGGTTGTTTGTTACCATCTTGGTTTACTGTGAACCGCATGGAGTAAGAAGATTGTGGGATGAATTTCATTCATTTATGGTAGAAGATTATTCTGTCTCAAGTACCATAAATAATACTTCTATCTTAAACAAGCTTTTGCAAGACTTGAATGGGCTATTAGTGCAACATAGTAAGTCTGTATCTGATTACGATCTACCACAAATAACACAAGATTGTGTTAGACACAACACACTTCCAAGGATAATACAAGATGAAGTTTCACTTGACATCTCTGAAGCAGACCTCAATGCGGTACATAATCTAAATGAAGACCAAATGGCAGCGTATAATTCGATTGTGTCTGCTATTGAACGTCGAGACAATGCCATATTTTTTGTGGATGGTCCTGGAGGGACGGGAAAGACATACTTATATTGTGCTTTGTTAGCAACGTTAAGGAGCAAAGGTCATATTATTCTGGCAATAGCAACATCTGGAATTGCAGCAACCATATTGCCAGGCGGAAAGACAGCACACTCTAGATTTAAAATTCCCCTCAGTCCAGATGCATCTTCCACGTGTTCTATTAGTATCCAGTCAGATTTGGCAGAATTGATAAGAAAAACATTAGCTGTTGTTTGGGATGAAGCACCAATGGCACACAGGTTTGCATTTGAGACACTTGATCGAACGTTCAAAGATATAATAGGTGTTGACCTGCCATTTGGAGGAAAGGTCATGATTTTTGGAGGAGATTTTCGACAAGTTCTTCCAGTTGTTCCAAAAGGTACAAGGTCTGAATTGATGCAAGCAAGTATGATTAATGCTTCATTTTGGGGACATGTGAAAATCATTCGTCTTAGGCACAACATGAGATCCATCAATGATCAAGATTTTTCAGAGTTCTTACTTCATGTCGGTAATGGGGAACAAGAAACTATGATAGACGACATGATGCAATTACCATCATCTATGGTCATTCCATGGAATGGTGAAGAATCCATTGTCCAATTTGTTAATGAAGTTTTCCCTGATTTGGAATGTCATGTATGTGATTCAAGATACTTGGTGGAAAGGGCAATTATAACTCCAAAAAATGAGGATGCTGACAAGCTTAATAAAATGATCATCGATAAATTTCCAGGGACTGAACATATCTTATACTCTTTCGATTCAGTTGAGGACGATGTGAGAAATTTGTATCAACAAGAGTTCTTGAATTCAATCTCACCTGGTGGAATGCCCCCTCATCAGTTAACTTTGAAAAAAGGTGCCCCAATAATGCTTTTGAGAAATATCGATCCGAAGATGGGGTTGTGCAATGGTACAAGACTGGCTTGCCATGGAGCTTACAATAATCTAATTGATGCCGAAATCTTATATGGACAATTTGCTGGAACTAGAGTATTTTTACCAAGAATCTCTTTAAAGACCACAGAAAGCGCAGGACTCCCATTTGAAAGGATGAGAAAACAGTTTCCAGTGAAATTGAGTTTTGCACTAACCATAAATAAATCACAAGGGCAGACAATACCAAATGTGGGTATTTATCTACCAGATCACGTATTCAGTCATGGACAATTGTACGTGGCTTTATCAAGAGGAGTATCAGCGTCTACAACAAAAGTCTTGGTAAAGAAAGGAGAATTACACGGTCATGAAGGAGTCTTCACAAAGAATGTTGTGTACAAAGATATTTTGCTTCCCTCGAATTCAACATAAGGTTATATTCTTTCTTTTAATGTTTAATTCCCGTTTTCAAATTTTAATGCAATTCAATTACAAATAATGCTAATATTTGATTCTAACCGAACGCATTAAATTTCAACAGGACGGCGATATGAGTTCATGATATGAAGAACCGTCAAGTGTATCAAGGCCAATTGAAGTTCTTGGATTGTTTTTATACTTTTTACTTAGCTTTTAGTTGCAACTAAATTATAAGGATCTTCTATGTTATTTATTACTTCTTTTTTTTTTTACATATTCTAGATAAATACTTTAAATTACTACCTGTAATATTAGAGATGATAATCGTCTTTATTTTATGTTTCTATACATTGAACCAATCCTCGCATATAATTACATCTAAAATGTGTAAGTCGCGCGTAGCGCGCCGTGATGAAAAAAGTGTCTTTCGCACGCACGTGAGGACACTGTAATAGGCACTGTTGTGTGTGAGAGAGTATCCACGTCAACAACTTCAAATTGCATTGCTTCCTGTTATGTGCAGCCATATCATACTTTCTAAACCATATACATTAACAATTACAATGGAAAAAAACTAACACAATACACATTTAGGGGCGCGTAGCGCCCGTGATGCAAAAATGCCTCTCGCACGCACATTAGTGCGTGCAGAGAGGCTAGTATATATAAAGAGAGAGCCTCAGTTCGGTGAAGCTTTCTAAAATGCTAAAAATGTCCATTTGTTTCCTTCACAATCAAAATCCAAAAATTTCAAAAAATGAGGGCAAATTGGTGAAAAAAAACATAATAGAGTATAAAACTGTCTTAAAAAAACAAATTAAAAAAAAACATAATAATTATCCTCTTAAATTCAGTTATGCGGTTAACTACTCGGCATACACGATTACAAGAACAATGCAACGGTTGTAAAGAGCGGAGGACAATCGAAACCGCCTTCCACGCATTATGGGGAGGAGAATGGTTAATCAATTACAATACACTCATTCCGACTGCTTGCATACCCATTTTCCTTCTCAATATTCTCTCTCTCACTCTACCTCGAGAGTCTCCCGAGCGTATTGTTCTTCATAATTGCTATTTGATCAATTTATGCTGTTTGATTTCGCGTCTCTATGTGTTATTTTTGGTACTTTTTTATTTAATTGATTGGTTCATTAGTTTACTTATCATTTGCTTATGTGCTTCTTCCTACATTTTGAACATTTCAGTTTTAGTTTTCTTACTAGATATCTCACTTCGTTGAAAAATCGCTTTTGATTTTTTTAAGGCCTTAATTTACCGTTCACGAGTCAATGGAAGAAGCGGAGTTTTAAGGTAATTTTTGCCCTAACTTCTTTGCATTTTGTTGGAATTAGGGTTAATTTTTTAATGGATTTATTTTCTGGGTTAATTTTCACCCAATTTCTCTGTAGCCATTTTTTTTCTCTCTCTCTCTGCGTTTTTTTTCTCTGGGTTCCATTAGTTATGGGTGATTCAATCACCATTTTAAAATTTCCATACCCCATCACAGTTCAACCAAAATCAGTCACCAAATAAACATATTCAGGGAACAAATTTCCTTACGGATATTTCTTTAGATAGATTGAAATTATTTTCATAACTCATCTAACTCTTAATTTATACCCTACACAACCAAATCCGCTAGGATATATATGAACTGTTCATACCATTACCCCATACCAATAAGAGATAAAGTCAATTGGTGAAGTGTGGTGACATGAATGCATATAGTAATTAACAAATTTGTTAGCCAAAAAAAATAAATTGAATGAATGTTTTTTCCAACATGGTGTTAATGTCTTTCCGGATTGATTATGGTGGATCTCAATTGTTTTATTCTTTGATAGTATATGCTCCTTATAGTGATAGTAGATGCCTTGATAGAAATAAACTTTTGCTGCTATTTTTTTAATTTTCTATTTTCCTACTAAATATCTTCGCTTCCCTTGCAGTGTAAGTTTTGTACTGATTTTGTGTCTATTGGTGGTGTTTTGTATATCATATCATGATCCTTTATGTTGTGTATAGATATTAAATGACACTCTTAGTTGCCTTAGTTAAGATGTTGCCCGACTCTAATTGTTTAAAAAAATTCATCTATTTTTCTCTGTTTGCTTTTTTTTTTTTTAATGCGCATGACTAGACAATTTAGGTGTGGTGCTACAACTGTTACGATTCAATTCCCCTTTCGTTCAATTTCTTTTCATGATTATAATTAGTCAAATTGTGAGTTTCAATTTTGATTATCTTAATGTGCTATACGTGTGCTATGGTAATTTAAAAATTTATTTGTTTTCATTCTCAAGATATTTACAATAATACCCACATAAAAATGAAGAAGGAACTACCTATTGATAAGATTCCAAACAGATGTGTCTCTATTTTTACACTTGGTTGGGAGATATTTGTTGGAGTAAAAACTACTGATCTAAGCCAATTGATTCTCAAAAAGTGGAAAAAGAAGAAGCATGAGCAGTATGTATTCTAAATTCTTTATTAAATTTGTTACAAGAAATCTAACATTATATACCTTTAATATAAAGTGGCGCATGAAAAAGGCTGTAGAAGAATTAAAACCTTCAACAACTCCTCACATCATACGTATTTGGAATAAAGTCCAACAAATTAGGTACAACACCATTTCTTACCTTTTTTTTTAGGGGTGTGATATCCACACACCCCATTTTACTTCTCACACACCCTTCTAATTTTCGGCCGTCGGATCGGATGAATTAAAGAAGATCAACGGATAGAAATTAATAAGGGTGTGTGAGAAGTAATTTGGGGTGTGTGGATAGCACATCCCTTTTTTTATTGGCATTCTCTATTCTACAAATTAGTTATCACAAATTATAAAATTAAAAAAAATTCTTCAAATAATTATCTCAAATTATAAAATTAAAAAAAAAAACAATTTATGGGTGCAGGAAAAAGATTAATAGTGACCAAACAATTTTTCTAAATACGATAACTCTTCTATTATTTTCATACTAAAGTATACTATAAATTCAAATTGCATTCAATTTTCAAATACAAATAAAGTTGCATTTTTATCAGTTTTACAGGTATCACATCCGTCTCAAAGTACAAAGGTTGAAATACAAGATTAAGGTAACATTTCTTACTATTTAATTTTGTAAACATGAACACAATTTGTTACCTCAAACTTGACAAATTATTTATCTTTTAGTATTCTAAAAGTAACTGGAGTAAAAGCATTGTTCTGTGACAATTGTCAAAGTTAAAGGTATTTAGGTTAAATTGCTTACAACCTTTATATTTGTGATTGTGCATTATAGTGCATTATTCCCATCTTAATCAGTTAGACTTCTTATTTTATCATCATTGCTTGCAGATTAACCATGAAAATCTAAAGCATCAAGTGCAAGCAAATGGGTGGCAAGCATATCCTTGATTTCACACATAGAAGCTATGTTTACATATGTATATACTGTCCATATTTTGCTTTGCTTCATATATTAGGAGTTCATCCCTAACTAGCCTATAACTTTGACTAAAAACTTATGAATCTGAAAATTTTGATTAATGTTGTCAGCATGTATTTAGAAATGAAATTACATGTCATCTTTTCAGATTTTTTGAATAGTATCAGTTTTCCCATTTTATCTTCATTGTTGTTTTAAAGGAAAAATAGTAAAAAATGGTTTTTTTATTCACACCCCATAATTTGTTGAAAACACCCCATAATTAAATTTTCTCCCTACAATTCCAACTTTACCCTTCCTTTTGTTGAATTCACCCCACCTCCCAAATACAAAAAAATCTAACACAGCCACCCACCCACCACCACCACCCTTCTCCAGTGATTCCATTCAACCTAGCCAAAACAGAAAATTTGAGATTTCATGTAGTTAGCTATACACTTTATAAATCTAAACTAGCTTATCAGGGAAAGATAAAAATTTCATCGCAACATCCAAATAGTCTATCATGGAAATGATGGAAATGGGTTTTTAACAATTTTATAGGCTGCATTTTCATCCATAATCGCAATAGCCCAATGCATGTGTAATCATTCCCCTCAATCATATGTCAAATGCCAAACAAAAGCATAACTATGAAAGAAAGAAAATTAAGATTGAATGGGGTCATCGACAAAGTTGTGGTTGTGGTTGTGGGGTGGGTAGCTGTGGGAATTTTTTTTGTTTTTGTGGGTGGGAGGTGAGGTGGATTCAACAAAATGAAGGGTAAAGCTGGAATTGTAAGAAGAACTTTTGAATGTGGGGTGAATTCAACAAATTGTGGGGTTTAAATAAAACAACCCGTAAAAATTGTACAAGAGATTAGTAAAAAACCAAAACTAAACAAAAAACTGTACTCAAAAAATAAATATCTAGATAAGATGTAGATGTGTGCTGAAACTGTTTCTGTAGTGAGAAACCAATTGAAAAAAGGATAATATAAAATTTTGAACAAGAAAAAAGAAAGTAAAAAGTAAAATTAAATTAAAAAAAAAGAAAAAAAAAGGTTACATGTTGAACCTTCAAAGACTACGAAGAAAAGGCACGAACCAGTTAGCAGTTTGCTTCGTAGGAATCCCACAATCTCATCTTAGTTTAGTGGGAGGTTCAACTGTAACTATCCATGTGCCAAATTTCATTTTTAGAGATGAATAATCGGAAGGAAACCAATTTTCGTTTTCAGCTTACTGTGTGGTTTCTATTCAATCCAAATAGAAATGGATCGGCAAAATCAGTGACATATCCTGCTTTTAGCTGTTGTCGTTATG